CATCCCCTTCATGGATTACTGCCTTGTTGTGGCGAAGGGGCTTGCGTAACTCAATGAAGCTATGAGCTATGCTGTGCAGGGCCACCCAAGACAGACAGGTCATAGCAGAGAGTTGTGACAAAATGTGATCCACTGGAGAAGGAAATGGCAACCCACTCCAGTATCTTTGCCATGAAAACCCCATGGAAAGTACCAAAAGGCAAAAAGATATGACGCTGGAAGATGAGCCCCTCAGGTCGGAAGGGGACTGCAGCCAAGAAATTAAGAGACGCTTGCTCCTGGGGAGGAAAGCTATGGCAAATCTAGACAGCATACTAAAAAACAGAGACATCACCCTGCCAACAAAAGTACGTATAGTCAAGGCCATGGTTTTCCCAGTTGCAATGTATGGCTGTGAAAGTTGGACCATAAGAAAGGCTGAGCGCCAAAGAATTGAGGTCTTTGAACTATGGTGCTGGAGAAGACTCCTGCGAGTCCCCTGGACTGCAAGGCGATCAAACCAGTCAGTCCTAGAGGAGATCAACCCCAACTGCTCTTTAGAAGGCCAGATCCTAAAGTTGAAACTCAAATATTTTGGCCACCTAATGAGAAGGAAGGACTCACTGGAGAAGAGCCTAATGCTAGGAAAGATTGAGGGCAATAAAAGAAGGGGACGACAGAGAATGAGGTGGCTGGATGGAGTCACTGAAGCAGTAGGCATGAGCTTAAATGGACTCCAGAATATGGTAGAGGACAGGAAGGCAGGACAGAAGATGGTAGAGGACAGGAACATTGTCCATGGGGTCGCGATGGGTCAGACACGACTTCGCAACTAACAACAACAACACGTAACATTCCCTCCTCCATATGAGATAGGTTGAATGGGGAGAGCTTCCATGAGTGAGGATGGCTTTATCCTGTGTTCAGACATTTAATCAATTTACAGCACCAAGTTTCTTTGGGTGATTACCATTGGATTGATTATTTATTTATTTTCTATGCTGGCCATCTCACTAATACAATGATTTTTGGAGTCTATGAGGCAGTGTTTAATGTTTATCTGTTTCCACTTTGCTATATTTAGATTTTTTTTATGGAGATTCTTGCTGTAACTCAGTAAGACAGGAGTTTGGAAGTGGTCTACACTATTTGATTTTAAATTCCTCCAGATGTTATAATCTGGACTGATATAATTTATCCAGTCCTAAATCATGGTTGATATTAAGTAACAGGCCCTCTCCTTTGGGTATTTTGAATTGGAAGAGAATCTAGGTGGCATATAAAACCTAAACTAACAAGAATCATTGTAACAAGTCGTAACAAAACACATATATGTATTTTATTTCCAAATACTCTCTTAAATTACTAGTTAGAAAATATGTGGGGAACCCTATAGTTTTCAGGAGGTGTTATATTCCACAGTTTTGGGCCAGTTATTGAAAACGCTTGTTTCTTCACCTCTTCCCCCATCTTCATGAGCCATGGTGGCACAGTGGAATGCAGTATTGTAGGCTGACTCTGCCAACAGCCAGCAGTTCAATTCTGACTGGCTCAAGGTTGACTCAGCCTTCCATCCTTCCAAGGTCAATAAAATGAAGACCCATATTGTTGAGGGCAATATGCTGACTCTGTAAACTGCTTAGAGAGTGCTGTAAAATACTATGAAGCTGTATATGTCTAAGTGCTATTGCTATTGTCATTCTGAGGAGGAGCAAATCAGAAGATATTTTCATGGAAGGAACAAACAGAAAAGGAAGATACCTTCTGTATGAAATTATTCCATATGTAGAAAAAGGCCTTATAATTGTAATATAATCACCCACAATACTTTTCAGAAGTTGTTCCAACCATAGTTTCTTTTATTATACTGAACTACATTTTATTTTATTTTTTTATTTAGGTATTGTGCACATATTGTGCTGTGATCCTGCAGCATATTATTTTCAACTAAGTTATTCTCATATATGCTCATGATTTTTCAAGAATTATTAATCCTAAGCAACTTTGATGAGGGATTCTTCTTATCATAGCAGCCCTATGATAATCAACCTTGTGATGTGCAGATGTCTGATCTTAATGGATTTTCTTCAGGAAGAATAATAATAGAAGATGTGTCAGAAAAGACAATAGCAATAGCACTTAGACTTATATACTGCTCCATAGTGCTTTAAAGTACTCTTTGATGGGTTTACAAGGTCAGCATACTGCCCCCAACAACCTAGGTCCTCATTTTACCAACTTTGGAAGGATGGAAGGATGAGTAAACCTTGAGGCCCATCAGGATCGAATTCCAGGCTGTGGGCAGAGTTTGTCTGCAACACTGCATTCTAAGCACCATAGAATGCAAAGACCTGCAAATAGAAGTAGAATGACTGTGGCAAAAGAAAGCAAAGATGCCAATGGTAATAGCCACAAGGTTCAGTTCCAGAATATCTGGAGCATAGTTTAAGTACCAATGGCTTTGAACAAAATATTAATCAATTGCAGAAGGCAACTTTACTTGCAACTGTTTATATTCTGAGATGATATCTTTAATACCATCAAACAATATCTGCCTCTCCTAGAAAGGACTCAATAGATGGGGGAAAATGCCAGATCCAGTCTAAATATCTGGATGACTGTGTGACTAATAATGATAATAAATAAGCCCTATAAGTCCAAATCAAGGAGGGAAAGGAAGAGGAAGAGGAAGAGAAGGAGGAGGAGGATGAAGAGGAGGAGGAGGAGGAGGAGGAGGAGGAGGAGGAGGAGGAGGAGGAGGAAGAAGAAGAAGAAGAAGAAGAAGAAGAAGAAGAAGAAGAAGAAGAAGAAGAAGAAGAAGAAGAAGAAGAAGAAGAAGAAGAAGAAGAAGAAGAAGAAGAAGAAGAAGAAGAAGAAGAAGAAGAAGAAGAAGAAGAAGAAGAAGAAATAATCAAAGGGAACACTGCTTTTAACATCATTAATAATATCTTATAGAAATTCTCCCCAAAGAAATTCAGTAAAAGATATCATGCTGGGAATTCATAAGATGAAAAAGGTTCAGACAGACTCAGCTGGAATAGAAACAGTGACACAGGTATCAGGCACCATTGAAATCAGACTTAAAACACATTTAAAAAATAAAAATAGTCTTAGTACATCATTAAATAATGGCCTATTTCTGATAAAATATTCATTCTTGAAACAAATTTACTTCCATCTCAATTTTCCAGATTTCTTTTCTATATTCTATCTACTCCATTCCAAAAAGGCTCTGGGTCACTTACATTAATGTAATTTTAAAGAATTAAAAGGAGGAGCATGAAAAGCATTCTTGAGCTGCTCAATTAAATTGAGGAAGGGAGGAAGTTTTTCCCAGAAGACATTTCATAAAGTTCATACCAGCTTTTAACAACTCCTGCCCCTTTTATCCATTCAATCAGAGCAGGGCCTTTGATGTTCATCAATCAGTGGTAGAACAACACAGATTAAGTAGGGGAAAAGTATTTGGAGCATCTTATGGCACCCACAATTAAACATCTTTTCCTGGGATCACCCCCGGCAAGAGAAAGTACAGATTGTTCCAGAAGTTCCAATAGACACACCTAAATGTCCACAGGTGATTTGAATCATCTTTTTCTCTTTGAATCTAGATTGCTGCTCAGCCTTATTATTGCAGTGCAGTTTACAGAGTGGAAACATGAAATGTGTTTGTCCTAGACTGTCTTCAGCTTGTCGTCTCTTGCCAAAGATATCCGTGGTATTAACATTTTAACATGTTTCTACAGGATATCTCAGTGCATTACACCATTAGGAACTCTTGTAAAGATCCTGCAAAAGAAACCAAATGATGTTGTCATCACAGTCTTATATTGCACACGAATGACATGTTAGATAAGAGGATTTATTTATCATCCTATGTTAGACATATGGGATAATATTGTGCAATTTGGCTTCAGCTGAGTGTTTTGGTCAATAACTAAAATTAATCTCTGGCTTCATTCACATAGACAGCTATATTTATCTTTTTCTACATACATATGACAGGGGTTCCTAAATATTTTGCCATCACACCTCCTTTAGTGTAATCTTAATGTACATTTCTCCCTTAAAAATCAAAACACCAAAGTGAACACATGAACAATGAAACTTTAGGAAAGGTGCATTTATTGTAAGAATGTAATTATAGGTTGACCTTGGTTAATGACTGGACCAAGAACCATCACTAAGTGACGTGGCTGTAAGGTGTGCCTTCACGCTGACTTAAGATAGCAATTCCAGCAATCTGGTTGTCATTGTTGGGTGACTCCCATGCAGTCATTACACGTGACATCACGTGAGTGCCATGTGCAACTTCATTGATATCTTTTGTAGGCAGCTAGCAAAGAAGGTGCAAATGATGATTGTGTTGTCACTGAATGCTGTAACAATCACAATTTTGAGGACCAGTCATAAGTTTCCTACTCAGAACTGTCACTGAACAAATGGGCATTAACCAAAGATTACCTATAGAAGGTTCTTTACACTGCCTTTGGACTCTGCACCACCACAAGGGAGGTACATCTCACAGTTTGGAAAACCCTGGCATAGAGGAACCTTCATGCTTCTCCTCAAAACAGAAGAGAGTCCAGATAAAATCTGATACTTGCACCACCTACTATTTATATATGCTAACTCCATATACTATTCTGGGGGGAAAATATGTGGTTGGTAAGACTAGATGCTGTCTTGACTGCACAAAATCAGTTAAAAAATACCTATACTAGGTACGTTCGTGGGTTTTTTAAATTTATTTTTCGTGGTAAACCTTTTTTAAAATTATGAAATATCGATGTGCTGATAATATCAGGGGGGAAATATTACCGATTACTCCGTAATCGGTAACATTGAATCAAGGAAACGAAAATGCAGCGGAGGCAGGCAAACGAAAAGAAACCGTCGTCACGGCTCGGAGTTCCGCGAGTACTGGCCACAGGGGGGCGCCGCTCCCACAGCCAAAACCTTTCGGCGTCTTTGCGCTCAATTGCCAAGCTCAGCGTGTAGCCTCAGAGACTTGGCCCAAAATGTCCGGGTCCTGCTCGGAGATCAAGCTGCGGAGAAGAGCTCTATGCGTCTCCTGGCTTTCCTGGGCCCTCTGGGGCAGCTTGGCCCTGGCTCCGGCTTGCGGGTACGTGATCGTGAATTCGGTCTCCTGGTCTGTGCCCAACGAGGTGGAAGAAGAGCTGGACAGCTCCTCCAACGAAGAGGCTCTCCCCGCCCTCCTTGAAGACACCAGCAGCATTTGGAAGCAGAGCTACCCGGCCTCGGTGTACAAAGAAGAAGAGGAGATGCGGACCAGGCCGGGAGCGGGGAGATCGAAGCAAATCTCTTCACCGTCGCGGATGTTTTCTTACCGGAGGGAGAGCTCCAAAGGAGCAGACAGCCCAGCGCTTCCTTCGGAGCAAGCAGCCAGAACGGCCCGGTTAATGATGCATCGCCACGGCTGGGGCTTCTTGGCCACGATATCAAGCCAAGAAAAGGTACCACCACCTTAAGCCGCCTCTCTGGTAGCAGGCGGGAAAGGAGGCGTTTGCGTTTTCTCCCTCCGAACGCTGCTCTGCAACAGCGCTACGGCGTTCCTCTTTTCGAGCCTTTGTTGCTGCCATTCAGCTCTGTCCAGCCACGCACTGGCTCTGCTGAGCAACGCGGTTATCATTTGGGGACAAATCCACAGTTGTGTAGTGGCTTGAATGAGATGGCTTAATGGGCTACCTTCCCCCTTCCTGAAAACAGGAGGACGATTTTGTCTCTTTACTGACACCTGCAATGTGGATACCCAAAAAAATAATAATCCAAAACTAATCAATTAGAGGAAGAATGTGTCCAATTTCCAAAAATTGTCCAATAATTATTCCAATTATAATAGACAGATTCAAATTTGGTCTTTGTTTTTTTTTAATATTTAAATTAATAAATATATAATTGAATATCAACATCTTTGTTACATTTTTCTCATAATATCAATGTCAGTTTTAGGTAACTTTTCTAACCAAAACATATATAATTGCATTTGCACTTAATATCCATATGTTCAATCAGTATCCTGTTTTTGCTTTTTTTAAATTATTTTAATTTCCCATCAGTGTTCAAAATGTCTCTATTGTTTATAATTTCAAAGTAAGTTATATTTGGGTAACCAAAAGTTTCCCTTATTCAAACTTCTTAGCATTTTCCTGCTTCCCTTCTCATACCAAAATCTAATATTCTAATTACAAATCTTATCTTTCTAGTTATGATAATACTTCTATTTCTAGCAATTATCTAGTCTCCACCACATTCAAACATCTAGTTAATAATATAATATCCCATCTAATGGATCAAAACCTCTGTTTTCTTCAGTCTTACTCTAGCTTTCTTCCTTTGCCAACTAACTTTCCAAGTCAATGTATTTGAATCATGAAGTAATTTTTCCTCTGTTTTTGTGTATATTGTTTGGAATAAGAAAGATCATTTGGTTAAAGTGTTTTTGGAAGAAAAAAACCATTGATATTCATTAAACAGCCTCCCTCCTTCTCCAATTCCAACAGTTCTCCTAACAGCTCTATCTTCCATTCAATCAGTTCTTCTTTCTTTTCCTCAAATGTGTCCTGAATTCTTGATTGGTAAGATGTCTTTTCCATTTCTGATATTATTGCTCCATCTTCTAGTTCTTCAGTTGTCTGAATCTGTTGGTTAATTCTTTCCTTTAGGTCCTCCATCTTTGGATGTGCTTCCTCTAGTTTTCCTTCTATTTTCTGAGTAGTTAGTTCCTTCTTTGTAGTCATGTTCTGTAAATTTAGATTAGAAAATTGTTCTTTTATCTCCTTTGTGTTATTTCTAGTCTCATCACAAACTAAAGCAATAGTCTCTTGTATTAATTTCAACATGGAGAAAATTTCTTTCTGATCTTCATCTGTATTTTCTTGGTGGTATATCAAACTGAAGACTTTGGGAATAGGTGTTAAAGATGGTTTTTTACCATTTAAAGCTGAGTATGGGACATCCATTTCATTTTTTGTAGGTGGTCTTTATAATAAACATTGTTCATCAATCAAAGATTTGTAATCCAAAATATTCCATCATCTCAAGCAATGAAATGTATTTCTCCTGGAGGGAATAGTTCCACTCTGAAAGTCAGTTAATATTTATATTCGTAGTTCAGGCAGGCCAGTTTCAAAATAGTTCATCACCACACTGATAAGCAGCCCCAAAGTTTTTTTTCCCTTTTCCCATCTGCAGTCTTCAAAAGTGAAAGTTTCCAAGGACAGACAGCAAGTCTTATCTAAATCTGTGCTTCAAGCCAAGTTTCCTTTAAGCATAACAAATTATAGTACTGTAATTCTCCACTAGATGTCATTAGCACCATTTTCCAGCTTTTTAAATCCAAACTTATATTACAAACTTTTCAAATCTTTTTTTTAAAGTCTCAAAAACGCTTTTAGTCCCCAAATTTCAAAGCCATGTATGTGTATTAATTCCAAATTAATCTTGTAATTTTCTCTGCTTCCCCCAAGTAATTAATTCGCTGCTTTTATTTTCCTGAGGGGATGGGGTGGAAATTCCCCTTCCCTCTCTCATCAGGGAGGGTGCTTTGGGTAGTTTTTTCCAGGAAGAAGTCTTAGAGTCATAAAGAGAGGATAGAGTCTCACCCAGTTTCATCCATGTTGCTGAAAGGTTGCTTGTTAGTGCTTATTGTCTTCCGTTGTCAGCAGCTTCCCCCGCCGGTTTGGAGAGCTTCCTCGGATCAAACAGAAGGGCCGCCACCCTCTCGCGATCAACGAGGGTCCCCTCCTTGCTTGTCACCTCTATGGGGTCCCCAGCGGGGCAAAATCAAACGCGAAAGATGGAGCCTCATCTTCCTGTGCCCGTTCCACCACGACATCAAAACTGGAAGCCGGCATGATCTGTTTTTGACAAACCCATGTTGGCTACTGGTTATAACTTTGTTTGCTTCTAGTTAGAATAGAATTCTTTATTGGCCAAGTTCAGAATTTTATGCACCAGAGACAAATTCCAAGTGTGGTTGGACACACAAGGAATTTGTCTCTGGTGCATAAAATTCTGAACTTTATCTTATCCTACTTTTAAATGTATGAAGTATATGAAAATGCTTTCATATACTGGTTTTCCAAGGCAACTATCAAGGGTACCTAGATCACTTAGAATCTTCCCCATTTCTTCCAAAGTATTAAAACCTTACTCTTAGTTTTAGGGCATCTACATATCAGATAATTGTCCCCTCAATTCTTCATCCAAATTATTAATTAAAATGTTGATTAGCATAGGGCCCTTTATTTGATACTGTTCTGCAAGTTGACACAATCATTTATGAGTATTCTCTGGATAGGGTCAATCAGCCAGTTATGAAGTCATTTACCAGTTGTGCCATCTCGCTCATATTTAACTATTTTAATAATGCAGCAAAAAGTATATAATTCATAAGTTGGCTCACAGAAATTAATGCTAAGAAAGAGATGACCTGGATGAATTTTAACTTAAGAAGAAAATAAGAGATTACACAAAGTTTTAGGATCTAAAGAAATTAAGCAAAGTATAATATGCTACAGAGATTTAAGGGACAACAGCTACAACAACCTGTAATTTATCTTATTCCATGTAGGTATCTGAGCAGGTGTCACCAACCAGCTCACCTGAGCTGATCATGAAAAGCTAGGCAGGATAGTACTTGAACTTTATTGATCCCAGGAAATCCAGGCTAGTAGGGTACATTGAAAAACTGAAAAATCTCCAAGAAGAAGGCAGTGGCAGCTCACTACATTACTACCTTAAAAACTATATGGATGGGCCCAAAAAGTTCTCAGTAGTCAGACTGACTTAACAGCAATTTTGCTTTAATGTATTTATAATCTTTTCATTTAGAAATATAAAAATAATGTGAATATTAATGTTTTTTGTTCCCAACTAACCTTAAGTATTAGTAATATAAAAGTGATTAGATTCAGGTAGTCCTCGAATTACAACAGTTCATTTAGTGACTGTTTGAAGTTACAATGGCACTAAAAAGTGACTTATGACTGTTTTTCATACTTATGACCATTGTAATATCCCCATGGTCACATGATTAACATTTAATCACTTGGCAACTGACTCATATTTATGATAGTTGCAGTGTTCCAGAGTCATGTAGTCACCTTTTGCTTCTGGCAAGCAAAGTCAATGGGGAAGCCAGATTCACTTAATGACCATGTTACTAACTTAACAACTGCAATATTCACTTAACATCTGTATCAAGAAAGGTCATAAAATGGAGCAAAAATAATTTAGCAACTGTCTTGCTTACCAATGGAAATTTTGGGCTCAATTGTGGTTGAAAGCTGAGGACTACCTGTCGTCATTTTTTAAAGTAGGGATGGGATCCTTGGGTCTCCAAATATTGTTCAGGTTGAACTACAACTTCCATCAATTCTTATTTTTGGTTGAAGCCTATTGAGAGTTGTAATTCAAACATAGATAGCATTGAAGACCAGTTTCTCCAGCTCTCTATTAAAACTATAAAGAGCAAGTTTGGACAAAATTAAGGCATTCATTAGATAAAATAGTCTAATGTTGGATTTTAAAAATATTGAACAACATTTTTAACTACGCCCAGACATCTAGTGTAACTATTGCAGTCTAGTACTAAGTTTCATATTTTCTACCATTTGAAGAGTCCAAATAATTTTCTAAGGCAGTTTTCCCCACACAGAATGTATTACTTTTTTTAATGTAAAATGTGTATGTGAGATTGTCTGCTGGTAATTCCATTTTTTGCTGAAGAGACCTAGGAGGAAGACTGATCACTCGCATAAAAAGCTTAATGTATTTGTGGTTTGGGTTGATATTTTAGTACAAAATTAAGTTAACAAGCTTAATAAGGTAACAAACCAAAATTATGTTGACTTTATTTTTAAAATTATTGGATATATTTTAAAACCCACAACTTGTTTCAAGATACAGTTAATATATATTATTAGATGATATATGAAATATATTTGTAAAAAGGTATAAAATTTTATTTTAATTTATGTTACATACATGCAGGTTCTTGCTTTGAAGTGCAATTTATTATGATAATTTTTATTTATTAATCCAAGTTTTAAATTGATTATCTTTGACTTCTGGTCTAAAAGTGTAATAAAAGTATTCTATTCCACTCTGTAAGTTATACATTTTCATGATTTGTTATGTGAGAGTATGCTACATAAAAATGATTTAATACAAATTACAATTCGCACATACATACATGAGAGAATTTTTAAAAATTACCATTTCCTATCAGTTGTTAATATCTTTTACCTCATTGTTGTCCTCCTATTGGATGGGACTGTGTACTCTCACAAATAAAAAATATTTAAAATTCTTCAGTATTTTTAACAGGGTACTTAAGGATGTAATTTTCATATCCCCATTGAAACTGAAGGCATTCATATTGTTTAATCTTAATTAGTTTAGTTTAGTGAGGTTATGTTTTGTTTTTTAACAATAATATTTAAATTCTAGTTGTATATATTACCAGATTATACAACCATTGATACATGTTTATGTGTACATGAAGGAGAGAGAAGGAGAGAGAGAGGGATGATGAGAACAAGGCAATTTCACTCTTCATTACTTGGTAACATTCTGGCTATGAATGATAGGAATTGTAGTCTAGTAAGAAGATGTTGGATTGGGAAGGTCTGCTTGCTAACAAAAGTAATTGATAACATTTTCTGTTTTGCCCAATGGAAGCTTATAATTCCATCTCAGCCCTATAAATTTCATGCTTGAATGATGAAGTTTTAATTGTTGTTGCTTCTGTTTTTGCAATATTTTTAATAGGACTGTTGCCTGTCTATATTATGAACATGCCTGCTATCTGCCTTTTACGGCAGTCAAGAGGCAAAGAACATACTATAACAGTGATGGCGAACCTTTTAGAGACCGAGTGCCCAAACTGCAACCCAAAACCCACTTATGCATCGTCGAGTGCCGGGTGGGTGTGGCCCATTGGCTGGGTGTGGCCAGTGGGATGGGCGTGGCCCATTGGCTGGGCATGGCTGCGGTGGTAACGGCAGACTGGGTGGGACTAAAAAGTTCAATCAATCAATTCCAACTTTGCAAGATCTTTTTTTTTCCCGCGAGAAGTTGAAATTGACTGATTGAACTTTTTTTTTTTTTTTGCACATGGCGGCGGAGGCCTAAAGCGA